AAATATTATTTAAATGATACTAATAATTTAAAAAATACTACTGAAACCACTGTTTTATATATTTTATATATTTCTTACAACTGCAAATGAAGTCTGTTTTTAAAGTAGGATTTGAGGTCTTTAACATTTTGTGAGCACATAAATTGTTCTTAACTCCTAACTACACGTTAGTCACCGCATATCTTTTTCGCAAAGAACATGTAATTATATTCTTAAATTTAAACACCTGTAAAACATGCAAGTAGCTTTACATAATAAAACAACAATTATCTTATGTTTTATGTAACTTATACAAATCATACGAGCGAAAATATATGTTGCACTATTTAATATTTTATTGAAGCGTGGTAACGTTTAAATCAGATAAGTTTATGACACGGTATACCATAAAATCCACAAGATATTGTAAATATTCGTCGAGAATATTTTTCTTATCATCTATACAAGTGGATCAAGTTATGTTTTCTAAAACTCTTTATTTAAAGGTTTCCAATGAATTCTCTTTTCATTGCGTAACAGAATTTTAATTTCGCATTTTTTAATACATTTTATTGTACTCTGTTTTATGTTAGTTATATATTATTTCTATTATTATTAGTAATAGTTAAAATCACAGTTTGGTATTTTTCTGTGTCTCATTATCAATCCCAGAAAACAAATGTGAATTGAAAAAGGTCATCTAAAATAACTTTTGGAAAAAAGTTCAGCACCTCTATGAAGCTAAAGGTTCATTTGTAAAGAAGTTAATTAATTCTTGAAAAGTGAAGATTTTTAACGAGTTCAAGCATTAATGTCTAGCACCATTAAGACTAACACTCATTAAATATTTTAAATACTTTTTTCAAAGTATTTTTTCAGAACAAGAAATTAGTTATGTAAGTTATCCAGAAATTGATAACTAAATAAAATTATAGAAATGTTGAGTGAAACTAGACCCAGTTAATAGTGTGCAAGGATTAAAAAGCTACTGCATTAATCATTCTACGTACAAATACCCGAAAAAAATAACATTCCTCATCTTACACTGTCATTTCAGAGATGCAATCTTCGTGACTCTTACGAATCTGCTTACTTCGATATTCGCCGGTTTCGTGATATTCTCTATCATGGGATTCCTTGCTCACGAGATGCAGATGCCGATCGACAAGGTACTTCAAAGTGGCGCAGGACTGGCTTTCGTCGCATACCCTGAAGCTGTGGTTCGGATGCCGTTACCCAATCTCTGGGCTGTTCTGTTCTTCTTTATGCTATTCATTCTTGGAATCGGTAGCCAAGTAAGTTCATCAAACGATAATAATAATCAACTCCCAACCCCATGCCATGTAATAACAAGCAGGACTCGTGGTAAAGATTTTTCGCGCAATTTAATAGGAATCAATGTTATTTATTGCATATTGATCGAAAGAAAAGATTGTTTTGCTATTATCAATGTTTTAATATTAAATTTGATAGCATTGCGCAGTGTAATGTGTATTATAAAGCATTTAATAAACCAAATATAAAATTCACGGATCAAATTAACAGAATAACATACGACATACAAAATACAGAACATACAAAACGTCATTATATTAATTGACATTCGTCCAAAAAAATTTAAGGTACACTTGCCAGGAGAAGAAAAATTCTTTGCATTCTTGTAAATTACTGATAGTAAAATAAATATAACCAACACTACCGCGGAGGAAATTGTGTGGCAAGGGGTTGAAGAGCCAATATATGAGACATAGCACTTTTACTTAATAGGTCGAATGCTGAGTGTATTACTGTGAAAATGATTTTATTACTCCCATTATTATTATTATTATATTCTCATTTAATACATTAATTGCTGCACTGATTCCTTGTAGTGTTGAGAGGTTTGATGTTTAGCAGGATGGTACAGGGACAAAGTCTTTCGCTGTGTGTTTTGGTTATAGTTTTGAAGAAACTATAATTATAAAATAGAAATATACTTAGCCTTCGATAACCAAGACAAATGGAAAAATTACATTAATTTTGTTTTGTTTTGTGAATTACATATGCAGTCTTGTTAGATTAACGAATTTTTATTTAAAAATATGTATATAATTTTTTATTTTACAAAAACGTAAATAATAGTGTTTCATATGGATTTGCCAAATTTATTACATATGTATTTCTTTTCAATGTGAACTGTGGGCTCGAATTGCACGATTTCATTTTACACGGCATTTTCGGGGAATCAATCTACCATGTAAATAGGGTGTTAGGTTTGTAAACTATATCATAAGGAAGATGAGAATTGATCAGTTAGATTTATAATCTTCAACCCAGTTATCAAGTGATCTCTCTACAATAGTTACTTTATTTTCGTTTGTTATTTATATGTTCTATGCAAAGTGCAAACCTTTTGCACTCGGGGCGCACTTTTCAGTCGTCATTTGATTTGATTCAACAAATTATAGAATTAAAAATTCAATATTAAACTTTATATAATGTATCAATACATAGAACATTAAAATAAAATACTTCTGTCCCTTAATTTATGCAAGATATTTCTTTATGATAGTTGCAAAAATATCATTGTTTTTCAATGAAAAATAATAAATATTTGTTGAGAAAAATATTCTCGAGTGCAAAAGATTGAAATACTTATGGATCGTTAAGGATTAAAGCCAGAATTCGATGAAACATAATCTTCAATCCTACATTCAAATATAAGTTAACTAAGTTACAAAGCAGCTTTCATAATCGTCTATTGTTCTTGATCTGCTATTCAAAATGAGGTGATCACAGTGAACAGTAATTAATTATTGTAGATGATAATTTTCAATTAAATCAATTGTTGCATTTCAATAATTGGTCTTTATATGTAATCAGATTACATATTGGCTCAGCTGTGGTTAAAATTAATAACTAGACAGCGGATTTTATGCATTTATGACGATTATGAGCATACAGGATGTAAACTAAGGAAATGTTTGTAATAATTTCAGATTATTGTTACTTTTTTTCTAGCTCCTCAAAATTTTCAAGGGAAGAAATCAGTTTCTATTTAACCAGTTTACTGCATTTGGCGAGTACACTCGCCATCTTAAAGTTTGAAATGATACTAATTCTTTAAATGATAAATTCTTCATTTGTTTCCCATAAACATTCTTATGAAAAATAAGAATAGTAATTCTTTTTTGTTTTGCTTTGGTTTTTCATTCAAATATAGCGTAAAATTTTTTAAACTAAATTATACAGTTACCAGGTGAATTCTTGGTCTCTTAACCCTTTGTACCCGAAAGGTGACTTAATTCGATACAGCAAAGTTAAAAAAGTTCGGTATCCAGTACTAAATTTTGTATACTGCAACAATACACTAAACATTAAAATAAAACAGTTCTGTTTTCCAATGTATATACGATTCCTCTTTAAATCAATAAAAACCATCATCAATATTTCAACACAAAGCGACAAACACATACAACAAAAGAATCCTCTCACACAAAGGGTTAAATTTCACCAAGAAACATTGATTGCCCGCAAAAGTCCGCTGTCTCCAACGATCAATTAAAAACGTTCAACCGCGAGAATCATTCTCAGACGCTTGAACGGGCTCACAGAATACAAGAACGAGCCAAACAAAAAATAGCAAAAAATAAACGTTTCTGAAGTTGGAGAAAGAGGGTGAGCAAGTCGGTTCACGGTGGCCGAGCATAGAGAAAGGGCAAAGGTAAGAAACGGAATGGAAAGAAAAAGATCGTCCTTCGAAAGGAGTGAGAGAGGTGACGTCGAAAATAAAAGGCAGCGTATTTCCGCGTTGTATAAACTTCAGAGTGCAGCCTTGTTCTTTGTACGCGTGTTATTCTGCGCGAGGAGGTGAAGAGCGAAAGAGAAAGCAGGAAAGGGAGAGTATGAAAAAATTGTTCGTCCTGCCGAACCGGCTGAGAAGGCGCCATTCAAGTGGCCCGGAGAACCGGAACGCCGGTTCCCTGTATTCGTCAAAAGAGCTGCGGGCGAAAATGTGCTTGCAAGTAGCCAGACGATCGTTCCGTGTTACTTTTGCATCGCCTCCCGTCTCCTCGCCTCGAGGCTCGTATATCATGGAAAGAGTTATGGTTTGCCGTCCCACTGAAATCCACACCTTTCTTCCTGTCCTCGTCTTTTCTACTCCGTTTCTCCTTCTTTTCTCCTTCGAGCAAGAGAGTGCAGGAATCCAAACGACCAAGCTAGAATAGGGCAGCCAGGATAGAGCGGGACAGCTGGACCGCCTGGGAAAAGGGAGCGAAAGAGCCTTTGTTTTTTTACATGCTCCTCTGTCCTCCCTGCAGCCAGCACGTTGAAGGGTAATTAAGACGGACTGCGTCGAAAAAAAAGGAAGTGGTAGGGTGAGCGAGTCTAGGCTATGGGAGGAGTTGGAGTAGGGAAGGGGCCGGGGGAAAAAAAAATTGTAAAAAGTAGAAAGGGTAACGAGAAACCCCGGCAGGCGAAGCATCGAATCTCGCAGTAACACGGTCGGTCGTTACTTTTTACGATACACAGTTCGCAGGCGTGCAGGCGATAAACACCACCATATTGGACCTGCGACCAGATTTACGAAAACACGAGAGCTACGTGGTGCTCGGGATATGCGTCACTTGCTGGCTCCTCGCTCTGCCGATGGTGTTCGGCGGCGGTATTTACCTGTTCACGCTGATGGACTGGAACACCGCTTCTTGGGCGATACTATTGATCGGCATCGCGGAGGTCGGGACGGTGGCGTGGTGTTACGGCTGCAACAAATTCCTGCGTAACATTGCCGAAATGCAAATGCGGTTCGGCCGTTTGCTCCGCGGCTATTGGTGGCTCAGCTGGGTCGTGCTCGCGCCTATCACCTGTCTGGTAAGTGCATCGCAATCGCATCTACCTTGTCCGTGGGTCTTAACGCGGCACGCGGACCTGTTTGTTGTTCCTTGTGCGCCGCGCTGAGATCCTTGGGATACGGTCAAGAAACTATGTCCAAGTTATTCGGTAATAATTAACTCCCGGAATATCGGTCGGCCAGTTTTACAAATATTGGATACCATTGGGAAAGCGTTCCCGCGACCTCCGCGTGGAAGCTGTTAACGTAATTTGCCAAGAACATTGGGATACTCCTTGTCGAAATAATGGAGAATCCGCATTCTGGGAACTTCGGTTGCTAACACTGTTCTAATGTATACACCTTTGGTGGACGGGAATGTTGTTAATGAGGAGGATGAGGTTTCTGTGAAAGGTGATCGTTTGTTTGAAACTTGAATATTAACCGTTTATCCTATGATTTATTTCTTAGCTATGATCGATGCAACTACTTTATCGTTAATAATTCATTAGGAAAAGACACAATTTTTATGCTTATTCTATGTCCACGTCTACTTCGAAGGTTAATGATTAATAATAGGAAAGTAATATTTAATTTGTATTTAAAAAATATAAATGACATTTAGATTTCTCAAATTCAGTTAAAAATTTTCATCACGAGCCTGATATGATATTGTAGGTGAAGGGGTTAAAAGCTAATGATATATGTGTGTAGGTGCAAGTAGTGTTTGTAGGTTTTGATGATATTTCTAGGGAGACTATTTTGTATTAGTGTATTCGGACAATGTGTAATTAACTCAGAAACATGGTTGATTGAGTATTTTGGGAACTAGTGATAGAAAAAGTGTGTAAATTGTAGCATTGGGTTGTTTTTATTTTGTACAACTCTTTGAGTTGAAGTTATTTTAAATAATTGTGTTGCTTTGCTGTGGAAAGAGTTTGGAGATATCATGAATACCAAATCATTATCAACGTCAAACGGTAGCAATACTAAGCAGTACGAAATAGTACTAAAGGCTACCAAGTATCGAGTAGTATCAAATAATATCAAAGACTACCCATACTAAGCAATATTGACCAAAACTAAGTAATAACAAAGATTACTATTACTAAGTAATACCAAATAATAATAAACAAATACCAAAGTCTACCAATATTAAGCAATATTAACACATACTAATAAGCAACACCAATGATCGACGTAACTAAGTAATATCAAACAATATTAAATAAATACCAAAGCCTACCAATACTAAATAATACTTAACAATAGCAAAGATTACCAATACCAAGCAATACCAAAGACTATAATTACTAAATAATACCAAAAGGTATTATCCTCTTTCTTAGAAGTAATTGAAAAATTTGAAAGCGTAACAATCTTGCACGCGGTCACGTGTAATTGATTCGATGAATAAAACTTTGAATAATAATTATCTAAACGATTACCTTAATGGCACGAGAACATTAAAAGCATGCCTGAAGTAAAATGAACGTTTAATTAACTTTGCGTTAAGTTCCTTCTAATATGATTGAATTTTAAACTACTCCTTCTTCAATAGAAACTTTAAAAACGGAAAGTAACTGTTTGCAATTAATAGAAGAAATATACGAATTATTATTGTACGTATTGCGTTATAATTATAAATCATTGAACAGATTGTTATTTGAGCTATATAAATCTTAAGTTATAATATTCGTAAAATTTTTAAAATTTCTTTCGATTTTATCCAATCACAATTATGCAAAGTAAGAATTAGGAATTATTCAAGATTATCAGCATATAAAAGGCTATGCACGTTTGTACAGTTTAAGAAAAAAATTGAAATTCCAAAATTTTCTATTTGATTTTAAAAGACCTCTTTACATAGTATTTTTATATTCTGAGAAATTTTGAAAGTATAATTAGCTACTTTTCTGTAATGTGATGAAAAAGATATTACTTTGAAGAAATATGGTTCACTCCTTTAAGTGAAAATTTAACCGTTAGTTTCTCTTTTGTTTTGTAATATACACGCCAAAAAAATAAAATTGTTAAAAAGTAAGCACGTTTGAATTAGGCAAAACCTGAAATTTACATTCACTGTAAATACCGCAAACTGTCACATTTTTGTGGGTACGGAAGTACTGTACATGTATATTATACACATTCTGTAGCGATTTTAAGAGTTGAAAATTAATTCCAACAGTAGCTTATAGTGTAAAATGATTATATACACATAATGAAACTATTATTTACCGTAGAAAAAATTATAAACAGTATACACACACGTATTAATATTATTTTAAGAAACTACATAAGTTTCTTTTTAAAATCAACTTTTTCTAAAAACAAGTTTTTATATGGAAAATAATTTATCACGATTTGTTTTCAAGAATGCCTTAATTCCATCATAAATTACATAATACAATAACTACTTTCGTTTTTTACTGTTGTACATTTTCAATATTTTGTACATTATCCTCATTAACTCATTACCATTAACAAACTTTCACAAATCTTGAATTTTCTTATTGTTCATACTAAGCAATACATCATAACAAATACTGTTTCCAAAATAAATAATATCCCCATTGCCCAAATTTCTCAACTTACTATTAATTTTAAAAGCTTCAAATCTCAACCACTCAAAAAACAGACCTTAATTCACAAATAAAAATTTATACCATATATCAAAACTTCAGAAGCCTCACATCCCAGTTTCTCCAAATATAAACACCATTCCATAAACAAAATTCACTGAACACATTCTTTAAACTATACAGTTTTTCATATCCTTCCCAGTACGAGTCTCAAATTCACCACATACAGAGCACCAATGTAATATCCGATTTCTCGCGTGATCCGGTGATCCGTTCATTGAAAGTATCCGAGCTTCATTGAAAGTTAATCCGTCAAATTGGACGATCACAATTATGCGTGTAATCAAGCGTCCCGGTTGATTAAACAAACCCATCCCCGTGTTGACGAGCACTCACTTGCCAGCCGATTTCGTCGGAAGTCCTTTTTATGGTGGCCGACTTAGAGTTAAGACGACAATCCTTCCTCCTTTCCGGAGTGTTTTCAGTGACGGTATTACCGCGGTTTCGCTTCCCGGTCCACAGGTATTTAACGGTGACGGTCGTATTCCATTATCGATTTTCCGTTTGTTTTAGACTCTTTATCCGGCTTCCCGGTCGCTTTTTTC